ATTAATAAGGTCATGTCAAAAGGAAAAAGAACCAGCTTGAAAGAGGTCCCATTGGTCAAATTTGAGACAAATTGAACATAAAATAGAATAGTAACTATAATTGGTTATAACACATTGATTTTTAAAAATCCATAAGGTTATTGTAATACTAAAAAAAGTAGAAAACCTCTATAAAAGAATGCTAGCTAATAATTGTAAAAAAATTATGTATTTAGAAAATTAACATTTTCGGGCCAAGCCCGTGGCGCAGGGTCTAGAAGCAGGATTAGATTCAAATTAAGCATTTTTGTCAGGAATAATTCATAGGTGCAATCATGTATTCATCCTGTGTCAAATTAGGAGGCACATATGACACCTAATGACAGGTTGTTCCACTAATAGTGATACTAAATTTGTTAAGGTGTGGGCCGGCCCATGGCTCACTTGGGAGAGTGTGGTACTGATAACACCAAGGCCACGGGTTCGGATCCCATATAGGGATGACCGGTGCGCTCACAGTGCTCACTGGCTGAGTGCGGTGCGGCCGGTCTCAAAAAGGACAAAAAAAAAAAGGAAAATTAACATTTTCTATGCAACTCCTAATGTAGTAGCTCATTCAGGCAAGGATCATCAATGAATGCTCAAACCACTAAATGGACAGTTAGTTGTGGGGGAACGGGATATTCGAATGGTACCAAAGCATCACCCCACAGGAGATTTACTAATTACAAAGGGGAAAATGTACCTTACAATGGAAAGACATGTCAGTAAACACCTTAACAATTTTTTTTTTTTTTAAAAGATGACCAGTAAGGGGATCTTAACCCTTGATTTGGTGTTGTCAGCACCACGCTCACCAGTGAGCTAACCGGCCATCCCTATATGGGATCCGAACCCGTGGCCTTGGTGTTATCAGTACCACACTCTCCCAAGTGAGCCATGGGCCGGCCCACACCTTAACAAATTTAGTATCACTATTAGTGGAACAACCTGTCATTAGGTGTCATATGTGCCTCCTAATTTGACACAGGATGAATACATGATTGCACCTATGAATTATTCCTGACAAAAATGCTTAATTTGAATCTAATCCTGCTTCTAGACCCAACTTCCAGTTTACAGGAAATACAGGGAATGGAGAAACAAATTAAACAACAACACAGGACACAATCAGACAAAATTCAGAATGTGAGACAATCTAAAAAACAAGTGACCTAAACTAAAAGAGATTAAGGAAACAATAACAATGTGAGCCTTGATTAGATGCTATTTGAACAAAGTTACAAAAAGACATTTTTGGGACAACTATGGAAAATAGAATATGGACTAGATATTAGATGATTTTAAGAAATTACAATTCAATTGCCAATAAACATTAAAAATGTTTAACCTCACTAATCATTAAAAATGTTAAAATTTACCTATCAAATTGGCAATAAAAATCAATTCAATTAATTTTGGATTAATTAAATTAATTAATAATGGATTTATTGGCAACAATTAAAATTAATTCAATTTTTTGGGGCAGGACAATCTGGTAACATGTAAAAATATTTTTTAAAATGTTTACATACTTTACCCAGCAATTCCACTTCTAGGCATTCGTCCTATAGAAATAAGAGTTGTACATAAACATTTATTGATGAGAATGCTCACTGCAGCATTACTAATGAAAACTGGCACAACCTAATTATCCAAGATGGAATAAATTATATAAAACTTTGTAATCATTAAAAATCTTAATTTGAAATATTTAACATGGAAAGGTCCTTAAAATATATTAAGTACAAAGAAAGCAGATTACAAACTGCTTTCCTGTATATATTCTACCTTATAGGAAAGGTGTCATTTTGTTATTTCTAGGTGGCAGAATGGATTTATAGGTGATTTTAATTTTTTTCTTTGTAGGAGAGAGGATCATTATTTCCAATATCTGAAGGAATAAAAAATGGAAGAGAAAGCAAAGTTATTTTTTGTGATCCTAGAGAGCAGAACTAGGAACTATCACCAGAAATTACAGGGAAGCCAAGTTGGTTCAACGTAAGGAATAACTTTCCAACAATTTTCTAAGAATTTTCTAAGGAATAATTGGCCTACCTCATGAGGTGATGAGTTCTGCATTATTAGAACTCTAAGCGAAGGCTGAATGATCACTTGGCAAAGACACATAGGACAGATTTATGTGTTAGGAGATTAAAGAGAAGATTTTAAATGGTCCTTTTCTACTCTTAAGAACTATAATTCCATAATAAGGTTTTCCATTAGCTGGGATGACAGGAAGGAAGTGGTTGGTATTTTGTGAATGCTATTTAAAAACCCATGTGGCATTAAATTAAACTAAAGAAATTATACCTATATTAGAATAACGAAGTTGAAGGACGATTTACTTTGTTACATTCTATATCAATAATAGATACATTATTGATAAAGTAAAAGGAGATGACTGACCCAATGGAGAGTACTCAAACTGAACTGGCAAGAACTACATTTGAATCTGCCCCTACAAACTTCTGTGTCTAACAACAACCTGAAGAGTTAAAACTTTTTCAAGGTAAACCAGCACTAAACATCTCACAAAGGAAGATAAGAGGCATTCTGCTCCCCTCTTTTGCTTCCAGCTGCTAACTCATATATAAATAAAGGAAAGATGAAGAATATACTCCCTTCCCCCTTGCAATATGGTAGATAAAATCTTAAGATTTTGGATGTATGAATACTGAGCAAAGGGAAATGACAGGAAAACTTATTATCACACTGGGTTCGAACTCTGGAAGGCAGAAGGAAGTACCAGAGGCCTGTGAAATTTTTAGAGTAACTGATGTTGCGATAATTAGATGTCAAAAAAAGAATCCTCAAAAAGATGGACTTTTTAAAAAAACAACCTTTTATTACGGAAATTTTCAAATATACACAAAAGCAGAGAATAGTAAAATGAACTCCACCTACCCATCACTCAATTTCATTTACCAACATTTTGTCAAAGCTGTTTCCTCTAATTCTCCAGGGCTTTTTTTTTTGAGATTTAAAAACAAACACCACATATCACACTATTTTATATAAAATCTTCAGTATGAAAACATAAACTTTCATGCTAATGATAGTAAGTATTCAATAAATGTTAGTTACAAGAGCTAGGTACTGTTCTATGCATTACACCTGTACTTACATATGTAATTTAATTTTCACATAAGCTAAGCCTCATTACTATCCCCATCTTACAAATGAGTTTTTAATGGCTCAAGGTCACCCAGCCAGTAAGCAGTGGTGTCAGGATATGAACCCAGAAGTTATATCTAGACTAGACCTTACTCTCCCAACCACTAAAGTATGCTGCCTTTCCAGCACACGAGAGGTCTTCAAAAAGTTCATGAAAAGATTTCTATTATCTTTTAATTCTATTTTCCCACAAACTTTTTGAAGTACCCTCATATTAGTTATTCCAAGCTGTTCCTTATGGGATATAGATTGTTGAGTTAATACCAGGAGAGCGACTGCTGAAAGAAAATAGGAAAAGATGCTATGTGAGCAACGGCTTTTTGCTCTTCTTGGGAAATTTTTTTTAAATGCCCCAAATGAGAAAGGAAAATGTAACTGTGTATCATCAGTGTTAACTGCCCAGGATATAAAAAAAAAGAAAGTCACCTCACAGAGTTTCCCTCTGTGGGCAATGATCAGGCCTCTTCCATAGAGCTGGAATGGAGACAAACTTATTTTAAATCTGCCCCTCCAATGACATGGAGTGAAGAGTATCTCTATTTCCACCAGACCTAAAAATGTTCAAGCAAAGGTACTTCACAAACAGAAGGCTGAGAAATTAGTACGAGTAATATTTGAGTGCTTAATGAAATCCAGAATAAAAAATAAAAGGACTTGGAATAAAAAATTCTTCTCACATCAGTCTCAGAGTTCTAAACCTTTCACTGATAGCGTTATAAAACATATAAGAAAAACTACTAAATAATGCAGGACTTGTCAAGAGAAGCGGAAGTATCCTTGCTGAAGGACCAAAAATTCTCCTGAAACCCTTCCTAGTGATTTATAATAGATCTTAGAGTAATTAAACCAATTATCTTCTCTGCGAAAACTACCTAGGGCATCCTCCTCCTCATCTTTCACTCTTTCCAAACATATACTCAAGAGCTCCTTCCCAGCTCCTACTGCACTTTATGTGTAATGCTATTAAAGCACTAATCAATATTGTGTTGTAATTATCTTTCCTTCTCTGAACTATGAATTCCCAGAGAGTCAACACCCTATCTTACTCTTCTTTACATTTCCAATCCCTAATCTTCAAAGCTAGCACCACTGAAAGTACTGGGGAAAAGTTTGCTGAATGAATAGGTAAAGAAGCTAAAGCTACAGAATATGGAGTGATCTTTATAAGAAGGAACTCTTTTATTTGTATAAAATCTCTCTAACCTCTGCACCTTCAGTTCTGCCCACAAGTTTCCCTTTAGGAGTTCTCCCATCAGCCAATTGTTCAGGCCAAATGATAACATGAACTACAGTCGCCTGAGGGCTGGAGAAAGAATCTAGCCTCTTTGCAATAGCTTCTAATTTGGAAGGCAGTCAAACCTTTTAATAGCTTTTATTCAGAAACCAAGATGCAGGATAGTGTTTGAAATGCCTGTTTTTTTACATTAAAATGCTGAAGGCAACAGGGAACATAAATAATTCCAAATTAAAAACCAATGATCAGTAGGCAGCACCTGGTCATCCACTTATAATATTTTTCAGACAAAAGATTGCCAGTACTGGGCTACAGCTCTCAACCATGGGAGAGGTACTCTTCATGTTCTGGTATGAGTCTGCTTTGATCCCTTTATAGTATTGGTTAGCCAAACAACTTTGGAGGTTATCTGGTTAAGCAATCCCTTGAAGTGAAAATCTTTGGGTAAAGAGGTTATCTTTCCTACCAATTTAAGAAAATTCAAAACAATCTCCCAGTTTAAGCTACATTACACTGGAAAGAGAAAGTCCCACCACATGTTTTCTTTGCCATTCTTTGGTTACCATGTTACCTTGGTTAGAGTCCTCTGGGTCTTTTATATGAGCAATGACATGCTTGAGATAAATTTGCTTCTGTTGTTCCAGATCTGATTGTGAAAACGTTGGAACATTAGTCCTTGAACAAAGCAAACAAGAAGGAGGAAAAACAGTCCATGAGTACAGTGCTTTGCAGAGAGAAGTTATATACTACTGACTGGTTAAAAGTAACTTTCAAAGTCAAAATTCTCTTTAAGTTTCAGCAACAGAAGACAGTGTTAAGTCACATAATATGAAGTTAAAATCAAATACAGAGTTGACCAGGGCAGACTTCTGGGGGTGCGTTGCCCAGGCCCATCACATCCATACTGTGTTCACTGTGCAGGCGGCTGCTCAGGCCTCCTGGCCAAAGCCCCTTCTTCGCCAGGCCCAGCTCCTGCCCACTGCTCCAGAGGGCATGGGTACCAGAGGGCCAGTCCTCAAGGAGCAAGGACCACAGAGCAGGCATTGGAGCCCACATCCCTGGGCCTCAGTGCCCTGGCTACAGTGTGATGTGAGGCCTGCAGCTGCAAAGCCCAACCCTCTAACCCTGCCAACTGCACCTGGCACCGACTCTGTGTCTATCTGTGTTCGTTTTTCAAAAAACAATTCAAATTACTACTCGGATTTTGAACTGTCATTGTAGGAAACCATATCCAGATCCTGTTTCATTTTTACACCAACTTGGTAAAAATACTGCTATTGATGCCCCATTCTCCCAACAATTGAACCTCACATGAGCTCTGGCAAAAAAAAAATGTATGGAGTTGAGAGAAAGAAAAGAAATAGATATAACATTTTGTTAACAGGGAATAGGAAGGTGAAGATTACCAGTCCCTAAGGAAAGCAAGCATCTGTTGAGTAATTCAACGTTAGTCAGGAAATAGCTAATTTCACAGAGCCACAGAAAAGATGAATGAGATAAAGACTGAAAACCAGCTAGGTCTGGCAATTAGGGCAATGGTGACTCTGGCAAGAACAATTTCTGACCCTTGCTCATACTGATTGCACTATACTAAAGAGTCAGTGAATGAGAATATTGAGATTGTAAGTTAATTACTGTTCCAAGTAGACTGACTTGTGTTCTTTGGTATAATTTCTATTGTAAGCAATTTACAAGGTTTCCCTCAATTATATAGACAAAACAAAAAAACACGGAAAACGGACTGGGAGGTAGTCAAAGGGAAATTTAGCCTTATTTGTAATATTTAAAATTTTCAAAGAATAAATATAATGTATAATAAATGTGTAATCAAACATTTTTTAAAATCTCAGTGTAAGGGGCCGACCCCGTGGCACAAGCGGGAGAGTGCGGCGCTGGGAGCGCAGCAACGCTCCCACCGCGGTTCAGATCCTATATAGGAATGGCCGGTGAGCTCACTGGCTGAGCGCGGTGCGGGCGACACCACACCAAGGGTTGCGATCCCCTTACCAGTCACGAAAAAGACAAAAAAAAAAATCTCACTGTAAGGAAATCAATCTGATTCAACCTAAAAACAGCTTTTCTAGTGCATTTAATTGAAAAGGCTCATGCAGAGACACTGCCATCTCCTGGCAACAAGAGAATAAATTGAAAAGGTGACCCAAATCTGCAACCCCTACTAGAATTTTTCCCAAGACAGTTGTATCCAAGTTAGGAGAGATAACTAAATGATTTTCTACTGTTATGTTTCAACATTTCTATTAATACTATTCTCACCTTCTATCATATATGTGACAAGTCTTCCCCTTACATAGAAGAAATCTTACATTTATACAGTGCTTTCACTACTACGTTTTTTACTTTCAAAATAACCTTGTAAAGCGGAAGGCACCTTTAGCCTTATTTTACTGACATAGAAACTGAGGTGACAGATTATTTTGACTTGCACAAGGTCACACAGTTGGTAGTGCCAGAACTTCAAGTTTGCTTACTCCCGTGCAGGGCTTTTTTTCCTCCACAGTAAGGGGAAACTGGGAAGGAGAAGAAAAAAATTGAAGAGAACCAACAGAAACCAGAATATTTAATTATACTGTTACCTGCTTTTGGTTTGTTGAACAGGAATGACTTTGCCCAGAATCTTTGCAGAATCCTTGTCAGGAACATCCTGCTTTTTTTCAGAGCAGAAGGAATGCAAAAGGAGAGATGGTTTTTAGTTATAAGAAAACAATTGAAAACAACACTATTTATGGAAATATTTTTGAACTAAAGGCTACAGAGGCATATCCTTGAACACTACTGTGTACCAAGTACTATGGTAGTTCTTTAAATGAGATAGCAACTATAATCTTAAAAAAGAAAGAAACCCTAAGCAGTAAGGTTTATTATCCCCATTTTGCTGATAGGGATTCAGGCTCAAAAAGGTTAGGTAAGTTGCCCAGGATTTTTTAGTTCTGCAGTGGCTGACTCAGAGCTAGCTGTAATCTAATACAGTATTTGCAACCAAAGATGGAGACTTAGGCTGAAACCCAGAGAAAGGAGAAAATCTACTCCAAATTATAGATAAGAAATGTGGAGGAACAGAGAGGATCAATAATTAGCCCAGGGTCACAGTGCTGGTCAGGATTCAAACCCCAATTTGCCCAAATACAAACCTCTGCTAGATTGTAACAAATATATCACTGTGATGCAGGATGTCCATTGTAGGGGAGGTTGTGCATGTGTGGGGAACAGGGGGTATATGGGAACTCTGCTATACATCTTCTGAATAAAAATGATTTCATTTTTCTCTTCATCTTGAAAAAATGTACTTACTTTCTTTGATAAACTGGAAACAACCGGAAACCTCATTTCACAACTTGATTTACGGGAGCCACCTTTTCTCCAAGATGACCCCATACTAGGAGGAGTCTCTGAATGGTCTGAGATCTGAGAGAATACAGTTGTACGTTTCTTACTGTTAGGTATATTTTTATCTGGGACAGTCTGTTGGAAGTTATTGTTTGAAAGAGAAGGGAGTGGGGGCCCATCCCAGGCAGAGTTATGGGGGCTGATCCCTTCAGATTCAGTGCAAAGTTTGCTCTCATTTGGGATAAGACCATCTTCTCTCATCTCTTCCCTAAGGGAGGAGGGTTTTTCAGAATCTTTGCATGAATCAGTCTTGTCCTTAACAAGCATAGCATCAGGAACTGTTGGATTAAATGGTGCAACAGTTACTTTTATAAGATTCTTTTCTAGTGCAAAGTGTCTATTTAATGGTTTAGTAGTAGTTGGTCCATGACCAACTGATGTACTTAGCTGAGGTAGTATGAAGGGGCCAGGGGTCTCAGCTACTGGTGCCAAGCTGTACAATGAATTTTTCTCTTGGGAAGTATCAAGTAAAATTGGACTCCCTCTCCCTTCCTTCTCAACATGCCCGCCATCATCTTTACACGACCCTCCTCCCCAAGAAGAGAGCTCATTTGATGGGAATGAGTCATCATCCTTCAAGAGCTCCTCAATCTGTTCCTCCGTGTAACTGAAATGGCCATCATCTTCTTCTCCATCAGATAGATCCAGCAAGGAGTCATCCAATCCATCCTCATCCAAGGAACTCCAAGAAAATGGGGCACTGTCTTTAGGCAAGAGATAGGTACCAGAAGACTGTTCAGAGGGCACTAACGAGCACGTCATATCTAGAGAAACAAGAGGCAGTTTCACTGAGGAATAGGAAATACCTTTATAACAACTCCAATCCACTGTATATGGGGTAGTGTCCTAATATTTCAAATTTTTTGCACTGTGACTTATGAGAAATAATTTTAAGATATTTAACATTACCAGAATCATGAAAATACATGTTAGAAAAATGAAGTACTTTTTTCCTACCAAAACGGTAAAAATTAAGATGACATAATAACCTGAGTTGGTGAGGATATGAAGAAACAAGCACTCTCACACACTATCAGTAAGAGTGTAAGTCAGCACAATATTTTGTAATTAGCAGAATAATTTGGCAATACCATTCGACCCAGCAATTTCTTTTGGAAATTTATCCTCTTATAAGTACCTCTTACAAATGTACAGGGATATATATATATACACAAGGATGTTCAAAGCAGCATTATTCAAAGTAGCCAAATACTGAAGGCAACATAAATGTCCATCACCAAAAGAACTGTTTGGCAAAATCATGGTATGTTCATGCTATGGAATACTTTCCAGCTATATAAATTAAACACAATAGATATATATGTATTATTGTGGAATGATATCTACAACATACAAAATAAAAAGATATTATGTAAAATGTTTGGACACTCATAGTTTACACTTAAAAAAATATATTACTTTTGAAATTTAAAAAAAAGTCCAAGAACACAAGAAGATAAATAATTGTCTTTCCATACTGTGTAGAGCTGCTGGAGATCTCTGCCTTTGCCACGAGACCAAATGGAAAAAGGTTGCAGCTCCTGCTAGCTGTTCCTTTCAGAAGACTTGTCAAAATGATTGACTCCCACCTTCCTGCAGGCACAAAGAAAATTAAAGGATCTTCTCATCACTTTCAACTCTGCTAATTACAAAGTCAAACGTATTATGCTTTAAAGTGCTCCATCTATTAATTTTGATCTTGATTTTTAAAAAACTACCAGAAAGAGAAATTTTTTTAAGCCAAGAATATCAAAGAAAAACCTTTAGAGAAAAAAATTATGAAACTAAGAAACTAGCTTTGTTCCTCTTAACAATTTGTATTTTCTTTAGACTATCATTTGCTTTAGTAGGATGAATACTGGCTTGGGAGTCCAGAGATCTCGGTTGTAGTCCTGGTTCTGTCACTAACCAGCTCTAAAAAATTGGGCAAGCCACTTAACCGTTTAGGCTTATTTCCTCACTTATAAAATGGGAAAGATATGGAGAAGGGGGACTATGCAATCTCTAAGATTCCACCAAACTCTAAAAGTTAATCATGAATATCCACACACAAATCTCATTTCCAATAAATAAATGCAAAAAGAAAAAGATCTGTAAAGATATGAACACAAAATCAATGACTATTATAACCTGCAGTGAAACAGAGGTAGGTCAATGGAAGACTTTTGTCAGTAACATTTTACTTTTCTACTTAAATATTTACTTGTACAATTAAAACCTTGTTTTGAAACAACTAGTGATATACACTTAATCTATAATTATTTTCCAGATGGGAAAGGTGATAAAAAGCTGATATTTCGCATATCACACCAAGAAGCTGCAAGAAATGTTTAAACAGTGAACTCAATAATTTGGAAAATTCCTTGAAGCCTTTTAACCATAAAATTCCTCCACTCCACTACCCTCTATACTACACCTTGAGTTTTAGCTTCAGTTCATGAATTCTTTCAGAAAACATTTTCTGAGCTACAATCATCACATAGCACTGAGATACATGATATGTGTCTCTATATGATTTCCAAGAAATAAAAATATGGTTCCCACCCTCAAGGAACATATAATTTTGCTAGAGAGACAACACTGAAAATTAAGTACCAATATAAAATATAAAATCGTATGGACAGTAAAGCACTAGAGAAAAAGAAGGGGAGGGATTACAGAATTTTAGAATTAAAAGGAAACTAGTTAAACTTATTCATCTTAGAAATAAGATGGGACAGAAAGGGAAGAAATATTAAGTACCTATAACAAGACACTGTGCGACATATTTTACAACTCTAAACCCTTAACACAATTCTGTAAAATTGATCTTTAAAAAGTTTTCTGTTGTATTTAAGTTAGAGATGGTAAACTTTTTATTTTACCAGTATTTCAGCAATTGCTGTGCTAGAGTTCCAAGCACTGAAGCAGATGCCTCTATGAAGAGAAAAATAATTTCTCAGGCTAGCCAGTTAGCTCAGTTGGTTACAGTGTGGTGTTGTAACACCAAGTTCAAGGGTTGAGGTCCTCATCCCAGCCAGCCACAGAAAAAAAAGAAAAAAGTAATTTATCCACCTAGGGACTGAGTTATTTTATACAGCAAAGTTATTTCTTTAGGCAGCAGTAAAGAAGTCTACTTTGGGGAATTTTTTTTTTTTTTTTATAGTTATCAAGCACAAATATCATAGGCACTGGGTTGTTAAGTAGCTACATTTCTTAGAAGCCCTTTCTGGTCCCTTACCTCAACTCTTTCCAAAAGGTCTAGTCCAAGCACACGCGTGGCCAAATGGAGAGTTTAATAGATTTTCATTCTTGGGAAACTCAAACCCAGAGGCATTAAGTTACTTAACCATGTACACATAGCTAATAATGCTAGAACAAGGATCCAAACCCAGGTCTAATTCCAAAGGCAATGTTTTTTCTTTTCTTTTTTTTTTTTTTTTTAAAGATGACCGGTAAGGGGATCTTAACCCTTGACCTGGCGCTGTCAGCACCATGCTCACTCAGTGAGCCAACCTGCCATCCCTATATGGGATCCGAACCCGTGGCCTTGGTGTTATCAGCACCGCACTCTCCCGAGTGAGCCACCGCCTGGCCCAAGGCAATGTTTTTTCTACCACCTTTGTGATAGGCTTGCCCAGGGCCGGTCAGCAAATGGCACAGCTATTATCCAAACTCAGGCCTTCTAAATTCAGTGCAATCTCTAATGAACTATAAATGATGGAGATACCAAAAGGGCTTTTAGTCTCTTAGAAAAAATAATTTAAGCCACCTTATTATGCATGGAAGACTTCCCTTGGCTTCCCACGTGGAATGGAAGAACATGAGAAATACCCTTGAAAGTGGCCAAACATCACTGGAAGAAAAACATTATTTGCAAATTTTATTTGCACACATAGGACCAATATTCTTCACAACCATTGCAAGCATTAATTCCTATTGTCACACAACATATACAGGAACAGAGCAGGCTCCTCTGAGCCAGTCTCATAAAATGTTCTAATAGGTCTAGGAACACAAGCATGCAAAAAATAGCATATACGTATATATACACACACACACAAACATACATACATATACACAGATAGTTCCCAATTTAGGATGGGGTTACATCTTGATAAATCCATTGCAAGTCAACAATGCATTTAATACCCTAATAAAGCCATCGTAAAGTCAAAAAATTAAGTTGAACCATCGTAAGTCAGGAACCATCAGTGTGTGGAGACAGGGAGGGAGTTAGAGGGAGAAAGAGAGAATTTTTAACTTGCACAAATTATTTTCTTTGCAATTTTATTTCTTCATTTTCAAAGATACTTATTATAGAGAATTTAAAACATATGCATAAGTAATATAATAATATAATGAATGCCCACATAACCATCATTCAGCCCAACAACTATCAACCCATAGTTATTCTTGCCCCATCCACTTTCCCCCTTTACCAGATTATTTTGAAGCAAATCTCAGGCATCCCATCATTTCATCTGTAAATAATGAGAATTCCTCATCATAAAATATCCAATTCAGATCTCCAATTACCTTATGTCATATTTTTTCCAAGCTTAAAAAAAAAAATCAGTATTCCCCCCCCCCAAAAAAAGAAAAAAAAAATCAGCATCCAAATAAGGTCCATACAATGCAACTGGCTCATATGTCTTGTGAGTAGTTTACAGATTCCCCAACTTTTTTCCCTGCAATTTATTTTTTAAAGAAACAATATCATATATTGTGTATGGATAAACATATATATCACAAAATGATAAAAATATGCATGGGAATGAGAGAAATGCCAAATTCAGAATAGCGATTACCTCTGCTGGTGAGGAGGGAAGAGGTATGGCAAGAGGGCATGGGTAGCTTCAATTCTATCTGTAATGTTTTATTTCTTTTAAAAAAAAAAAGACTTGAAACAAATATAGCAACATATGATAAAGCAGGATGGTGGGTATAATGGTATTGTTGTTTCCTAAAATTTTTCATATGCTTGAAATATTTAATGAAAACATTTTAAAATTATGAAGTCAGTGGAAAAGATACAATGATTATGCTCTCAAGTCTCAAATGTCCTCCCCTGTAAAATAGGCAACCTCATAGTACCTATCTCATAGGATTGTTGCAAGTACTGAGTGAGACCGTGAACACAAAGCACTTAGCACAGTACAGGCAAATTTAAGTAGTGGCTATAGTTATTATTTCATTTCACCATCATTTCCTCCCTGGCCCATGAAGAGTCTTAAGAGAAGCACAGGAATGGTAGGAAAAAAGACTGCTAAACTGCTTGTTTAGAAATTATCCAGTATGCTCTATTCTCTTCTGGTTTAACCCAACATTCAGCTATTTTGTCACAAAATTAATTAAAGACTAGACTGGATGGACATCTGAAATATAAGGCAAATTCTGCAGATTAATGGTCACTGAAGTATCTTGTACACAGGCACTGGACTAAAATCTAGAGACCTCAGCAATTCACTTAAAGTCCCTGAACCTCGATACAGATGAGAATACTCATCTGAAAAAAGGAAGATATATATTCAGTTCACTTCAAACAGATTATCCTGAGGATCAAATGAGGGGATGTTCATAAAAGCACTCCAAACCTAAAAGCCTACACCAATAAAAGTTGATATTTAATGAATTTGCAAGGGGGAAGGTGAAACCCTCAGATAAAATTGAAGTTCTTAAGTGAAGTTCCACGACAGACTTGGATACTTGTCTGCCATTCTGCTATCACCTACCTTTCTTGGCACTTTAACCTCCACTTAAAATATGGGGAACCCTTTATTTTTAAAGGAAGAATATTTTTCACACGTCCCAATTCTATCTCTTAACTCCTCTGCTCCACATCCTTTCTGTGACCCTATTCTGTCCTTCCACATCTTTCACCTGTCCACCCCCTTCTTCACACTTCAGTTTACCACCCCCTCTGTTCTCTAACCTCCTGATTGAAACCTCAGAAACTGGTTCCTTTTCTATTTTTATCTTACCTCAGGAAACCTATTGCCTTAGAGCACAAAGTCTTATCTTATTCATGCCATTAAAATTGGAAAAACAGGGCCGGCCCGGTGGCGCGCTGGAGAGTGCAGCGCTTGGGAGCGTGGCGGCGCTCCTGCCGAGGGTTCGGATCCCATGTGGAGACCGGTTCCCGCTCACTGGCTGAGCGCGGTGCGGGTGCAATACCGAGGGTTGCGATCCCGTTGCCAGTCCGCGGTACAGGCGCGACACCGAGGGTTGCGATCCCGTTACCGGTCAGTAAAAAAGACAAAAATGAAAAAAAAAAAATTGGAAAAACAGATGCAATCCCACATCCTATTTCAAGGCTCTAAAGTCAAGACCATTACCAAGTTGGGGCTGACAGAGATGGCCAAGGGCAAGGATTATTTCCCAAATGTAACACATGTGATGCACACTGCGCAAAAGGCTGTGTGGGCTTTGTTATCACTCCATAAAACAGGCACTTTTTAAAAAAAAAAAAGCTCTAAGAATTCTGCAACTCCCTTTGAGTTAACTGGAAACATTTGTAGGACGGAAAAACCCACGGCTGGAAATCTCTGCTTTCGGTAACATTTCACTAGATCAGGGTGCCAGGATTCTCCACCCCCATGAGCACAGAGATCAGCTATTACTAGGCTGCAGCAACAGGTTTCTTTTTAAAAAGAAAATTAAAAAAATTTTTTTTAGATAGGTCTGCGAAAACTCCGAGCCCCTAACAAATCTACAAAAAACCCCTGTAGATCAGGGTTGGGCAGTTGGTGGGCAATTCAGTCACATCTTGGTCTTCCCCGAGGCCCACTCTGCGGTGCCAACCACCTTCCCTCCCGTCCAGAAAGTAACTGTGACGCATCTAGCCCTCGAGGACCAGGAGCAAGGGTGGCCCAGATCCACCCTTCGAAGGATACTACCCGGCCTCCCCAGGCTCTCCCTCACAAATGCGAGGGCTACAGAACGGCTTCGCCCTCCAGGCAGGGTCTTTGCACTTCCCTCCTCCCAGGAGACCAAAAATTCCCGCCTCCCCGCAGAAGGTGGGAGAAGCGCGGGCTTTCTCCCCGCCCCTCCCCCCGTAGGGGTGAAATCTGCCCCTTGGCAGGCCGGAGCGGTGCACCCCTCTCCCTGAGGATGGCCGCCCACAGTGCCAGCTCAGCTGGACCTCAGTCCCCGCGCTCTCAGGGAGGTCGTCTCCCGCCCGCAAGACTCGGCTTTCCTAGCAAAACTCTCCCGCCGAGCGGGACCTCCGTTGCCCCCAACCCCACAGGGCAGGGACAGCAGACAGCCCCCCGCCTTCCAGGTGACTAGACAGCCTCTCTTTCCTCAGCAGAGTGAGGGGCATCTCTCGCTCGCCGACGTGGAGGTGGGGGGCAGGGACCTCCCCCCGCCATCACCTCAGGAGCGAGTCGGGCCCTTCTCCCAACAGGGCGAGGGCCTCTCAACCCCTCAACGGGGCAGACCGCGAGCGCTGCCCCATGAAGAATCAACAGGCGCCCCCATCCCCCTCCCACTCAAGGAACGCCGACCCCCTCGCCCCTCCCGCTCTTCACCTCCGGAAGCCGGGCCAAAGCCTGGGTGGACGACTGCGCCTCACTCCGCCCCCTGCGCCATTTTATTGCCCCCCCCCCGACCTCCCCCACCCGGAGTCTGCCGGGCCAAAGCCAGGGGGAGGGCAAACAAGCAGTGATTGGCAGGAAACCGTCCTGCCTCTAAGAGGGTTGCGCCCGCGCAGGCGCCGCAACCCCGCCCTCTGCACTGCCTATCCTGCCTGCTGGCTCCACCCCTTTCCGTCTCATCGACCCGCTCGACTCTTCGCTGCTCTTGACTCTTTTCCGGCTACTGCGGGACTGAGAGGGGTCCAGGCCGAGGAAGCCGAACGACGAGCTCAGCTGATGCAACCTGGCTGGACTCGCGTTGACTGTTCCTGGCACGCGGCTGTGGCAACTGAGGAAGAGTCGCGGGTACCAGGCTGAGCGCGGGAAGGAGGGGTGGCGGAGCCATGGGGGACGCTCCCAGCCCTGAAGAGAAGCTGCACCTTATCACTCGGAACCTGCAGGTTAGGCCTCAAGGTTGAAAATGCGCCGCTGGGGTCTAGGGGCCCTAGGTCCAGTGACCCTGAGCCCCACTACGGGGTCCTAAGTGTGTGGATCCGGGGACTCCGCACTGGGGCAGGCCTGAGAGCGGCTGCAGACCTCACTTCTGGTCGGTCAGCCATTCCTTGGGTGCCACAGTTATCACAGGACTCACCTCTTACGCGTTGGAGCCGGGCTTTGAATCCACGACTCCCACCCCACCCACCCTATTGTGTGCCAGGCGCGGTGCTAGGCTCTGGGATACGTAAGGGCCCTTCCCTCCCAGAGCCTGTCTGGAGGGAATTAGACGTTAGAAATTACCCATAGTCCCAAACCATTACATTGAAGCAAATACTGGAAGGTACGTGGGGCTTCGAAACGAAATAAGGAGAGGGAAGACTTCCTTGAGGAAGTGACCTCTAAACTGCGCCCTGAATGAGGCGGATCACCCCTTCACTCCACGTATGTTCCTACTGTTGGCAGGAACTGCAGGAGTAGGAGTTAACCTGAGGAAGTGTCGCGCGCAGATCCTTATTTGTAGGCAAGGACCACTTGAGACAAAGATGATGCTCTAATCACTCGGTTTATTTAACACACACACACAATATTGATCCTTAATCTACTTCTTATTTAAACTAAATGATTCCTTAAGGGCACACTGCACACAACTCCTATTTTTATCCTGTTACGAACAGATTAGGGATCTTACATCTCCTGTGCGAGGTCCTTTCCTGACTCACATCCACCAGGAACTGGATACAGCTGATGGGGTATGATTGATGATCCTTGAGAACGTGGCTTGAGAGCGGCATACATTCCGGTCCCTTCTTGAACTCCCAGAGGAAACATTATCTTATTGGCAGTACCGTCCTGCAATCTGGCAGTTCAACCAGTGCAGCAACTTGGGGCTTTTGCGTCCGTTCTTTTGTACTCTGCTCGAGGTCTGTTGCAGTCTATTAAGTCCTTACACAATTACAGTTGAATCCTCCCAAGTCCAGATGGTAATATCTTAAAAGGGTATGATCGGTTAAGGCCCAGGTGGACATGTCCCATTTAAGTCTGTCAAGTTCATGATGAAAGTTCCCTAACCAAAGTTCCTCCATGATCCTCTAATACAAAAACACTTATTTAGCACTCCCAACAGAAACAATGAAAGAAAGGGGGGAAGAGCATTTCAGATACAGGGAACAGTAGTGTCAAGAACCAGAGGGGAGAAATAACATGTGGTTCAGAGAGAAGGCTAATTTGGCTGGAATGGTGTGAGCGAAGTGCTGATCAGGCACTTCATAAATATTTGCATTGCTCATTCCCTTGTCTCTTAGGCTTCTGACTATTATCACCTTATCAAGGAGCCCTTTCCTGACCACTTTATTTAAACAATAAACCCTGCGACACCAGAATTGTCTCATCCTTTGCTCTACCTTTTTTTCTGTTGTTCCTCCATAGCACTTTATCACCATCTGACATACTATACATTTTACTTGTTTATTTGTTCAGGAGAGGTAGGCAGAGACCAAGTCATGAAGATCTTGTGGGCTTTATCCTACAACCCCAATTTAAAATTGGGCTTTATTCGGGGCTGTCTGGTTAGCTCAGTTGGTCAGACCATGGTGCTGATAACATACAGGGTTCAATCCCTTTACTGGCCAGCTGCCAAAAACATTAAAATAAAATAAAATTGGGCTTTATTCTTTTTTTTTGCTTTTTTGTGACCGGTAAGGGGATCGCAACCCTTGGCTTGGTGTCGCCCGCACTGCGCTCAGCCAGTGAGCACACCGGCCATCCCTATACAGGATCGGAACCCGCTGCGGGAGCGCCGCTGTGCTCCCAGCGCCACACTCTCCCGAGTGAGCCACAGGGTCGGCCCTGGGCTTTATTCTAAGAGCAGTGATACATCAGTTGGGCCACAGCTTGTTCTTTGTTTTTTCTTTTTCGAGATATAATTCACATACTATAAAATTTACCCTTTAAAACTGTATGATTCACTTTAAAAGTGTACAGTTCCATGGGTTTTAGTATATTGACAAGGGTGTGCAACTATCACCACTATCTAATTTTAGAACATTTTCATCTCCTTCACCAAAAAAACGTGCATCCATTAGCAGTTACTACCCATTACCCCCTAACTGCCCCCCAGCACTAGGGAAATCTATTTTCTGTTTCCATGTATTTGCCTATTCTGGGCATTTCATATAACTGGTATCATTGTCTGACTTCTTTCACTTAGCATATTGTCTTCAAGGTTTATCCATGTTGTTCACATCAGAATTTCATTCTTTTTTATGGCTGAATAATATTCCATTGTATGGATATACCACATTTTGTTTATCCATTCATCAGTTGATGGACATTTGGGTTATTCCACTAACAGCTTGATCTTTATTTTTTTTCCTTTTTGTCTTTTTTCGTGACCGGTAATGGGATCGCAACCCTCGGTGTCGCGCCTGCACCGCGCTCAACCAGTGAGTGGACCGGTCTCTATATGGGATCCGAACCCTCAGCGGGAGTGCCACCGCACTCCCAAGTGCCACACCCTACCGAGTGCGCCACCGGGCTGGCCCACTAACAGCTTGATCTTAACCAGAGATTTTTGCATGCTTCCTCTTAGCCAGATTCTTTGTTTCCTACCCTCTCTCCATAAAGTAGTGTTGGTTGGGGACAAAGGATACACAAACACTAATGGAATTGACTTGCTCATGTTTTAAAATCTGAGTAATGTGACCTTTTCTTGTGTAGTGAGAACCGTCCAAGTGTCCAAATTTTCAGGGGCTCTGGAAGATGTAGTGTCAGCCACCAACAGACTTGGAGCACAGGATTTTAACAAGTTCTGCTAATAGATGATTCAAACCAATAAAGTAATCTATCATGGTTTCTAACAGCCTCCCAAAACCATCACTTGAAGAAACACTAAAAACTGTTATCAGAGGCATACTGACCTGTTAGAATTTTTTCCATATTGTTTTAAGGCAAAAGGCAGTCGTTAAAAGTTTTAAATAAGTGACAGAGTTAATCAGATTTTGAGGTTTTTTTTTTTTTTTGTCTTTTTGTCTTTTTCCGTGTCCGGCAACGGATTGCAACCCTCAGTGTCGCCCCCGCACTGGACCGGGGACCGGCAACGGGATCGCAACCCTCGGCGCCGCTCCCGCACCTCGCTCAGCCGGTGAGCGGGAACCGGTCCGCATGTGGGATCCGAACCTTCGGACGGGAGCGCCGCCACGCTTCCCAAGCGGCGCACTTATCCAGTGCACCACCGGGCCGGCCCCCAGATTTTGAGTTTTAAAGAAGATCTCTCCAGCTACCTTTTGAAATGTGGATTGGAGGGAGCAAGAGTAGCTATGGGAGACCTGTTAGGAGACTATTACAGTAATCTCGGTGTGATCTGATGGTGGCCTGAATCAGGTTGGTGCTGTAGAGACAGAGGGAAGTAAGGATTTAAAAGCTGTTGCAGAGTAACTTAAGCAACTTGATGAAAGATAGTACCTTTTACTGAACTAGGGGTGAAACTGTAAGTGAAGAGAAAAAGAAATACCACATGTTCTCACTTATTGGTGGGAGCTAAAAATACACAAATAAATTCACTCACACACACACACACACACACACACACAAAAAAAAAAAAAAACCGGGGGGGGGGGGGGAAGAAGATATAACAACTACAATTTCTTTGAAGGTGTTACAACAAGCAAACAGAAAGGACATTCTTTGGTGGGAGGGGGGAGAGGGAGGAGGGAGAGAGGTTTCGGTGATGGGTCATAATAATCAACCACATTGTATATTGACAAAATAAAAAATAAATTAAAAAAATAAAAAAAAATAAAAACAAACCTTTTCCCAAACTTAAAAAAAAAAAAAGAAACTGTAAGTGAAAAAAGATGGTTGGGGAGCAAGGCAGGAGGCAAGAGCATGAGTTTAATTTTGAACATGTTGAGTTTGAACTATTGGGTTGATAACAAGTACATGGTTTTACATATGGGTGTGAGCAGGAGATTTGGGAGTTACTAATGCTTAAGTAGTAAAGTAACTGAAGGGGATAATTAGGGAGAATGTAAAGTAAGAGAGAAAAGACTAGAGCCCCAAAGATTGCTAATGTTTAATGATTAGGAAGAAGAGGAGCAGCTGCAAAGAAATCTCATCAGCCAGAGAAGAGGAAAACTAGAGAATAAAATAAAGGAGACCAAGAGAGTGTTTCAGGGAGTGAGGACTAAAAAGTATTCATTAAATGTAGCAATGTGGATGTACTCTGTGATCTTAGCAAAAGTATGTGTGATACAATATGGAATTTAGTAGTGTGATGTATAGAATTCAAACTGGAATGGGAGATGAGGAAATGGAGACCAGAAGAAAAGATAACTGTTTCAGGAAGTTGGCTATGAAAGGAAGGAGAGTGAGTGAGAGCTAGCTGGAGGGGAAGATGCAGGTAGAAATATGCTCCCACTCCCCTAACATCAGTGTCATTGCACAAGAGTGGTACTAGCAGCAGCCCCACCTTAGATTGGCTCTCAGCATTAAGAGCATGGCTGAATCTCCCCACTGGCTCTGAACCTGGACCCCCAGTGACATGTGCCTTTGTTTTACTTGTCACAGGGTAAAGGATGAGCAAGGTGGGGTACTAGCATTAAACCAGCTCTTCTGCTTGCACAACAGGAGGTTCTGGGGGAAGAGAAGCTGAAGGAGATACTGAAGGAGCGGGAACTTAAAGTTTACTGGGGAACAGCAACCACAGGCAAGCCACATGTGGCTTACTTCGTGCCCATGTCTAAGATTGCAGACTTCCTGAAGGCAGGATGTGAGGTAAGAACTAATGCTTTAAACCAAGCAGTTGTCCTTGGGGAATGACCAGAAGACAGACTTAAGGATGGGGTTGGGGTCATAGGAGGCAGGTTGGAGATATTTGGACAAATTCACATTTTGGTGGTCCCTTATGTCCAGGTAACAATTCTGTTTGCGGACCTTCATGCGTACTTGGATAACATGAAAGCCCCATGGGACCTTCTAGAACTCCGAACCAGTTACTATGAGAATGTGATCAAGGCAATGCTAGAGAGCATTGGCGTGCCCTTGGAGAAGCTCAAGTTCATCAAAGGCACTGATTACCAGCTCAGCAAGTAAGTGCTTGATTTTCTACCCTTCTTTCAGCTCTGGTGCTTCTGGCTAATTACAGGCCTATAGAGTCTAGGCACTTTAAATTTGGATTAGAAGTTGTTTGGCACTTCCTATTAAGCACCATTAAAAATGTATACCCTTTGTTCTTTTAATTCATCCATCAAAAATGTACTGACTAGTAAATGCCTAGATACTGTTCTGTTTGCTGAAGATATAAATGTAACCATAACAAAGTCCTCAGCCTTGCAGAGCTCACAGTATATGGGAGAGTGATGCTGAACAATCACCCTCTCTTTCTCTTCCAGCCTCAGCAAATAATGATTTAAAAAAAAAAAAAAAATGGGGCCTGGCCAGATAGCTAGCTCTCTTGGAATAGTGTGGTGCTGATAACACCAAGGTCAAGGGTTGGGATCCCCTTACCACCCAGCTATCAAAAAAAAAGAAAAAGTGAAACAGAAGTATTTCACTTGTTTTTTTTGTTTTGTTTTGTTTTCTTTTTGTCTTTCTTCGTGACCGGCAACGGATCGCAACCCTCAGTGTCGCGCCCGTACCGGACCGGGACCGGCAACGGGATCGCAACCCTCGGTGTTGCCCTGCACCTCGCTGAGCGGCTGGTCTGTATGTGGGATCCGAACCCTCGGCGGGAGCGCCGCCACACTCCCAAGAGGCGCACTGTAGCAGTGCGCCACCGGGCTGGCCCATTTCACTTGTTTTTTACCTCCCCAACAATTTCTATTGCTTCTTCTCTTTGTCAATTATATTTATATTTGTAATGTTAGCATAGATATAATTTTGTATTCTAATTTTTTAACTTACTATTTTTTTTTTCTTTTTTTTTTTTTTGTCTTTTTTACTGACCGGTAACGGGCAACCCTTGGTGTCGCGCCCATACCGGGGACCGGCAACGGGATTGCAACCCTCAGTGTTGCGCCTGCACCGCGCTCAGCCAGTGAGCAGGAACCGGTCTCCACATGGGATCCAAAACCTCGGCGGGAGCGCTGCCGTGCTCCCAAGCTGCGCACTCTCCAGTGCACCACCGGGCTGGCCCCTAACTTACTATTTCTTAAGTAATTCCCCCATGCTGCCTCATAGTCTCCACCTTTAAAATTTTTTTTAAACGTCTCAAATAAGCCTGTATAACTACATATATGTCACTCTACTAGTCACTTTTGAACCTTCGGAACAACTTTCTCAGGTAAGGATTGCTTTATCCTATTTCACAGATAAGGAAATAGATTCTGATTTAACTGTCCCAAGTTCATACATCTAATTTTAGAACATCTAATTTAGAATATGAGTCAGGATGTGAACCCAGATTTCTTGCTTACTAGTAAATTTCTCTTTTTACTCCACCTACTATAATTTTCTTTACCATTCCACACTGTTGGACATTTAGAGTCTTAAATAAAGCATACAGACATCTTTATATAAACAAATATTTGCATCTACAGTTTCTGTAGAGTGCCTGAGATTTCATGCATTTTTACATTTACTCCACAGATATTTATGGAGCCCCTATTATATGGTAAACACAGTTTACCATATAATAAGCTAAAACAAAAGTTCCTATCTTAATGGGGGTTACATTCCAGCAAGGGAATACAGACATGAAACAAGTAAACAAGTAATATATATAGTGTGTGTGTCAGTGATGATAGGTGCTACAAAGTAGACAGGCTGGAGGAGAGAAAGTTCTCAGGGAGTGGGGGTTTCTATTTAAATAGGATGGTAAGGGAAGACCTCCCTGATAAGATGACATTAGGCAGAAATTGGAAGAAGGTGAGGGAATGAGTCATGCAAATATGTATTGAGTTCTTAGTATATGCCAGACTCTGTTCTAAGGACTAGGATTATAACTGTGAATAACACAGCTAAGGTTTTTATTCTCCTAGAACTTAACAGAATTTGGGGTATGGGAAAGTGGGATAAATAAATAAAGCTATTTCGCCTCAATGTCACTTGATACAAAAGGGACTTTAAAGGAAGATGGCTTTGTAGAACACTCTTTGATGGGCTCCCTGTGTTCCAAACACAGCAATGCTAGATAAAAATATAAATTTTTTTTTTTTTAAAAAGTATGTAGTCGGGTTCAAAAACAAACTAAACGTCTCTATGATAAAAGAAACAGAATTGAAATGTAGATTGGTGTTCTGGGCTAAAGTTACAGGTCTGCTGGATTCCAGTCCAGAAGCATGAAGTGGGGCCAAACCAGGCTTACTACTTAAAGCCAGAGGATAAAGTAGGGCTTTTCCCCTTTTCCCATCCCCACCCCAACCCCTCAAGAAAGGTAGAACCAGGGAGTGGGGGCACTTCTGGCAACCCACCCAAGTCTTTAGGGACTTTTATCAAGCTTCAAGCCTGTGGAGACTAGAGTATGTGCATACCAAGAATTGAACCAAGCTGCCTACCACTTAGAGGTGTTATATCCCTGATATTATCAAAAAGGCATAAATTCTAAAATGCCAAGGAATAACATTAATTAAAAAATAAAAAGAAATTATAAGGCAGAAATGGGCAGGTCCAAGTGCATATTTCTTTTCTCCTTCTCCACTCCCACTGCTTCACTTGACTAACAAAGAAAGAAAGAAAGAGGGAAAGAGAGGAAAAAAAAAAAAAAAGAAAGGGGCAGAAATGAGACGTGAATATATAGAAATAAAAAGAATTAAGAAATCTTGGAAATGTAAATTTGTCATTAAAGAAAAAACATACCAACCTTGAAAAGATGGGATCAATTGTATAATGAACACAGATTGAAGACAAAAATCAGAGAATTTGAAAGTTATTACTGAGAAATTCACTTGGAATGCATCCCGGAGAGATGGACTCCCCCAAAATGTTAAAAGTGGCTGGCATGTGGTTGAGGACTTTTGTTTCCAGTAGCCTTGCAGACTGACCTACCTTCCTGCTGAAACCACTAAAAATGCTAGATGAAATACTTCTTTTAACTAAAATGTATCGATGTATTGACAAGTTTTCAAGACTATTCAGTGGCCAGATATCAAGCAAAAGTGGGAATACATACATACTATATTTTAATTAATCTAAGATGTCTTTAAAAATACTGATAATTAATCTATAATATGCCATTGTTTATAAGACTCATCTAGATTTCAGAGATGTTAAATGTTTAAAAGTATGCATCTTAGAATCCATAAAATATGGTAGGTGGAACACTGAAGATTTTTTGCACCTTGAGGGAGCTCATTGAATTGTATGTACTTGAACTTTGGTTTTCATGGCCTCACAGAGCACAATGGAAAAAAGAAAAAATGGTAAGAAAACTAGAGTACTCAGCCAGGAGGTCCAATATTTGAATAATAAGTGTTCCAGAAAAGAGAACAGAGACTCAGAGGGAAGGAGATCATCTATGAAATAAAAGACAATTTAAAGACAATTGAAGGATTCTGGTCAAGATGGTGGAATAGATGGTCCCCAGTGTCACTCTCTCACACAAATCAACCAATTTACAACTATAAAAACATAACAACAGTCAAGCTGGGGCCGCTGGAGCTCACAGGAAGAGGAGGAGAGGTCTCTAGGGGGAGAAGCCACGATGAGAGAAAATAAAAACTGCTCTGAGCGTTTTGTGCTGCAGCTGCTTTAAGGCTGGAACTGAGCGCATGGAGCAGGAGCCAGCAGAAGCCACAGCTGTGCCCTTCAGATGGCGTTACTTGGAGGTAGCAGGGGAGAAGAGGGCCTTGGTGGTCCCCAGGACAGCAAGACCACTAATAGGGTTCCCATGGACCCATGCAAGAGCGAGGAGCCAGAACACCTGAAAAAGGGGAGCCATTCAGAAGCCAGTGAGTCATTGCAAGGGACCAGCACAGGGCCCGTCCCTTGGGAAGTGTTTGGAGCATGGGCAGTGGGGGAGACAGGCCCACCGGGAGAACACTGGGGCACAGCAAGGACAGCCAATCCACCCCCAAATCCACACAGGACCACTCAGAGGAGACTGGTCGGGAATGCAGAATTGCATGGGGTGCAGTTTGATGAAAAAACTCAGGCTCAGATCAGAGTTTACACAACTGAGGTGCACTGGATCTCTGGAAAGCTGGAAGTACCTATAAGGTCAACCATTAAACCCTGAACTGCACAAAAAGCCTTCCCTAGGGAAACAGCAGCAAAGCAGCAATTTAGCTAAACCACAGAGCTCAAGTACTGGTTCCCACAGGAAGTTCCCCCATTTTAGAAGTAAGCAAAGGACAAAAGATTAGTTCTGGCCCAGGCACACCACCAGCGCTTCTAGGACCCACCCAGGGGCCTGGGACATCAAGCCAGGGACCATACCCCCCTCCCCCACATCCAGGCACACCACCAGTTCCAAGGAGCATGCCAAAAACATCACCTCCGTGTGGGTGGCCCACCACAGCCACTACAGTAACCACGGCTGCTGCGAAAGTGGCTAGATGTCACAGCCACTGCACAGATGGTCCACCAGCCACTGGAGTGCATTGACACTAGGAGAGTCACTGGCAGAGACCAAAGAAAAGGATGTCTCTCTCCACAAAGCCAATTGAACAGATCATCGAGGCAACAAATCAACAGAGTAACCGTTACTCTTTCAGAGGAGGAGAAGTCTAGTGTTATCAGTGGTGGGAGGAGGGAGGGAGAGATTGGACGAGGGACATAAAGAATAAGTACAATTTGTAATAATATACATATTAGTAATATTGATTTGATCAACATATGTCAACATTGAATCCCAAAAACATGTATAATCAATTATGATTCAATAAAAATAAATAAATAAAACTTAGCTCTGAGGTGCAAAAAAAAAAAGACAATTAAAGAACATGAATTTCCAGATTGAAAGAGTCCACCAAGTGCCTAACACAGTGGATGAAAACAAACACACATCAAAGTACATTCCCTTGAAATTTTATTTTTTTAATTTTTTGGTAGCTGGCCAGTATGAGGATCCAAGCCTAGGACCTTGGTGTTATAAAGCTGGCTCTAACCAGCTGAGTTAACTGGCCAGCCCCAATTTAAAAAATCTTGAAATTTTAAAACACTGGGGACAAAAAGTATTCTACAAACTTTAAAGGGACAAAAGGGCCGAGCCCGTGGCGCACTCGGGAGAGAGCAGCGCTGGGAGCGCAGCAGCGCTCCCGCCGCGGGTTTGGATCCTATATAGAGATGACCGGTGCGCTCACAGCGCTCACTGGCTGAGCGCGTTGCGACCGGTCTCAAAAAGGACAAAAAAAAAAGGGGGGGACAAAAGAAGTAACATACAAAATGTCAGGAATCAGAATGGTGAAAATTTTTATTTTCATGTTTTTATTGGCCATTTGGGTTTCCTCCTCAATGAAGTGCCTATGCAAGAGTTTTTGCCTATTTTTGTACATTTTTTTTTTATTAGTTCATTTTCTATTCTGGATACCAAATTCTTTGTATATATGGAATTAGTGTGGGAATAGATAATGAATGAAACAGAACAGAGTTGAGAAATAGATCTTCACAATTATAAAAATTTGACATATGACAGAGCTGGCATTGCAGATCAGCAGAAAAAGAAAAACTTTTTAAGAAAAAATGGTGCAGAGACTATTGGTTATCTGTATGGGGAGAAAACGATCCTTGCATTCCGAGTAGATTAAAGATTTACTTGTAAGGACCAAACAATAAAACACTTAAAAGACAGTATAGAGGACTATCTTGTGATCTCAGGATAGGAAAAATTAAACAAGACGTACCAAAAGCACAAATCACAGGAAAAGATTGATGAGTTCAATGACATTAAAATTAAGACCTTCAGGACTTCAAAAGTAAAGTAGAGCAAAAAGACAAGCCACAAACTGGGAGAAGATATTTATAATACATATAACTGGCAAAGGATTAATATCCTGTATTATATTTCAAAAACTACAGAATAAGTTGTTTAAAAAAAGAGTCAATCCAGTAAAAAAAGACTGAACTAGGCATTTCACAGAAGAAACTCAAATAACAAATAAGCATATGGAAAGATGTTTAACCTCCTTAGTTATTATTTCAAAGAAATGTAGATTAAAACCATACTGAGAAACCATCCCATTTGCTCATCAAATGGGCAAAATTTTAAAATAATGACAAAATTAAGTAATAAAATTGACAAAAAGTCACTTGGGAAAATAGTTTGGCATTATCCACTAAAATTCAAGATGCATATCTCCTATGATCCAGAAATTCTACTCCTACGCATATATAGGGAAACTTGAATACACATATAAGAATATTTACAACATGTTGTTTAGAGACACAAACATAAAACTGGAAACACAAAATTCAGGACAGTAGTTAACTCCGAAGGAGGAAAAAGTGAGATGGGATTGTGGAGGGACACTCAGGGGCTTCAGAGGTAATTGTTAGGTCCTTAAACTGGATGATGGATACTCTGTTCCTTGTATTGGTCATTCTTCACCGCCCCCCCTGTGGCTGGCCGCTAAGGGGATCCAAACCCTTTGACCTTAGTGTTACAACACCGTACTCTAACCAACTGAGCCAATCGGCCAGCCTGTTCATTATTTTTTACATGTGTCTAAGTTAAAAAAGAAGAAAAGCAGTATTTCAATTTCAAGAGATAACAGAACATTTTCCAAAAGAGAAGGTTAATTAAAGCCATCATCTTTTAAAAGGAAAAACATAAAAATTAAGTAATGTTTTGGACAAGCAGATAGATCTCTCACATTTTAGAAGCTACCAGGCAGTGCTCTCTTTGAATGTCCTAAAATTAGGGGAATTAATTAATGCACTTTAGGATTGCCCTGGGAAGGGCCGGCCCGGTGGCGCACTCGGTAGAGTGCGGCGCTCCCGCCGAGGGTTCGGATCCCATATAGAGACCGGTCTGCTCACTGGCTGAGCGTGGTATGGGCGCGACACCGAGGGTTGTGATCCCGTTGCTGGTCGCGGTACGGGCCCAACACTGAGGGTTGCGATCCCGTTGCCGGTCACGAAAAAAGACAAAAAGGAAAAAAAAAAAAGGATTGCCCTGGGAAACTGAGGCTTGGGCCCAATTTCACAGCTGTCCCCTCTTACTTTCCTCTTCAGAGAGTACACACTAGATGTGTACAAACTCTCCTCTGTGGTCACACAACATGATGCCAAGAAAGCTGGAGCTGAGGTTGTAAAGCAGGTGGAGCACCCTTTGCTGAGTGGTCTGTTATACCCTGGACTACAGGTACTTACGAGGGATGGAGTGACCCCAGTTACCTTTTCTGCTGTACTTCTTTTTTGGGGGGTTGTATGTTTTGTTACATTTTGGTTTTTTGGAAGCTGGCCAGTACAGGGACTGAACCCTGGACCTTGGTGTTATCAGCACCATGCTCTGACCAACTGAGCTCACCAGCCAGCTCCCTTTTCTGCTATATTTCTAACTACTGGACACAAACCTCTCTCTTGGCACGAGTTAAACTGATGCACTTGCTGCCCTTTCACCAAGCTATAGGCCTGCCTTCTTTTTGTTGTTTTGTGTTGGTTTGGTTTTTGGTGGCTAGCCTGGACACAGGCCTTCTTTCTTGTCTCCCTTCCTCCTAACTGCTTACTGGGATGCTCTTTTACTTCTTCACATGTAAATCTCCCCTTCCTGTCTGTCCTTTAAGACATTGCTCATCTCACACATCTTCTTTATGTCAATCATAATCTCTTAATTGAAGAAAATAAAGTTCAGAGTAATGTGTGAAAATAAATTTTAGGTATGATCCTATTTTCCATTACATAAAACAAACACATCATATGTGTGTATATTTGTAAGGGCAAGAAGGAAGAAAAATACAAACCAGGCTGTTGATACTAGTTACCTTAGGAAGGCAGGGTGAAAATGTTTATAATTTTTTTTTTTGTATATATCTATAATGTTTGATATAAGAAAATGAAGTCTCCCTTTGTCAACTCAAAGAGATCTTTCCCAAAATTAAACCTGGAGACATTCTAGATCTGCACTGTCCATTGTGGTAGCCTCTAGTCTTAGTCATATGTGGCTATTAAAAGTGATTAAGATGGGGCCGGCCCGGTGGCGCACTGGATAAGTGCGCCGCTTGGGAAGCGCGGCGGCGCTCCAGCCCGAGGGTTCGGATCCCACGTACAGACCGGTTCCCGCTCACTGGCTGAGCGAGGCGCGGGAGCGACACCGAGGGTTGCAATCCCGTTGCCGGTCCCCGGTCCGGTACGGGGGCAACACTGAGGGTTGCAATCCGTTGCTGGACACGGAAAAAGACAAAAAAAAAAAAAAAAGTGATTAAGATTAAATAAAATTAAAATTTTAGTTCTTCAGTCACATTAGCTATATTTCAAGTTCTTGGTAGCTACATGTGGCTAGTGGCTACTGTATTAGACAGTACATAGAGCATATTTATCATCACAGAAAGTTCTATTGGACAGTGCTGTTCTAGATTGCTCCTGCTTGCTCAACCTTCTCTTTCTTTCCCTCTTCTTACTCTTCCCTCCCCAACCATGCCCCATCATGCACTAAATGTTATCAATTCTATTTCTTAAAAATTTCTTAAATTTATTCTTGCTTTGTATCTATACTGCCTTGGTTCATCATTATTTCTTACCTAGACTGTCGACAGTCCTCTAGCTATTTTCTTTGGCTCCAGCCCACAGGCCTCCAGTCCATGGTCTGCCCCTGTTACTTTCAACAGTGCTGCTCACATTTCTCCCTTTCTTAAAACCATTCACTTGCCAGGATAACAATAGGTTCCCTAGCATGACATTTTACGGTCCATATCTGCTTTTCTAACCTCATCACTTACCATTTCCCACATCCCTTGAAGTTTGTGCTTTTGCAGACTGATCCACTCATAATTTCCCTAAACACTTCACACTTATGTGGCTTCTCACATTCCATTTCCTCTGCATGTTGAAATAACATCTATATGTTCTTCAAAACCAAGCTCAGGCCACAATCTAATTTTAGAAAGCCTTCCCTATACCTGTCTTACTAGATAGAGATAGTCATGTCTTCCTTTGTGTTGGTGCTATTCCTAACATGAGCATTAGGTTAGTGCTTAGCACACTGTACTGAAATTTATCTGTATACATGTCTCTCCCCAACTGGCTAATTGGGCTTCTGAAGGGAGAGTCTAGGTCTGATTCATCTCTGCATCCACAGAGCTGGTACCAGGCCTGGCATATAGTGACAATCACTGTTTTAATACTTCAGTCTCGCCTTTTTTCTGAGCTCTCATGAGACTTCTTTATGCCACTACTTTGACATTTGTCACAGGCTGCCTGACTCAGCGGGGTCCCTTTAACATTACTATGGTTTGTCTTCTTTCTTCCCTCCCCATTGGATTATGAGCATCCTGAGAGCAGAGACTACTCTTATTATCTTTTTCTTTTTTTTTTTGACAGCTGGTCGGTCCGAGGCTTGAACCCTGGACCATGGTGTTATCAGCACCATGCTCTAACCAACTGAGCTCACCAGCCCGACCAGAAACTACTCTTCTTATTTTTTTATCCCATGACATCCACGTGGAGTAATGTGTACTGTAGAGTAATGTGCACTGTGGAGTAATGTGCACTGCAGACATTTAACAACTGTTTATCCAGCTTTTGAGGCCAACAGAGAGGCTGAATGTTGTTTATTTATTTTTTTCCAGGCTCTACTCTCTGAAAAATCTAGTGATTTTCAAAAGTTTCTGATTTCTCATACCATGTAGAAGAAATACAGTAGGTGTTTATGGTCATGTATTTCTTTCCACAGGCTTTGGATGAAGAATATTTAAAAGTAGATGCCCAATTTGGAGGCATTGATCAGAGAAAGATTTTCACCTTTGCAGAGAAGGTTAGTGTCCTCTTTCCTGTCTTTTTTCATTTGAGTCTCAAAGGTATACAACTAAAGTTTATTGAACTATGATGTGCCAGTCCTACCATTCATAATCATATTGTATGATAGTTGCTACTCTCCTTGTTTTACAGATGAGAGAACTGTGGGTAGATGAATAAGAAACTTGTCCAATATTAAACAATAATTGAGCAGAAATTAGTAGCCAGATCTGTCTGACTCAAAAGCCCATTCTCTTGCTGTTACTATGAAGCTGTTCCAGTATCTGTTGGGTTTGCTTCTTTCCTAATTATTGTTCAATTTCCAACAAAAGGCACAGTCAGAACTACTGTTCTTTCCTAGGGTATTTAGTCGCTGTTGTCTTTCGTAAACCGCTCGTTGCTCGGATGAGGTTTAACAGGGTTTTGCGGGAAATTGGCACAAACCTATACATAATAATTCTTTTCTGGGAAAGAACTTGAGTAAGTTGAAAAGGGGCTATTAAGTGGTTGGTGGGCCGGCCCGGTGGCGCACTGCTACAGTGCGCCGCCTGGGAAGCACGGTGGCGCTCCCGCCGAGGGTTCGGATCCCACATACAGACCAGCCGCTCACTGGCTGAGCGAGGTGCGGGAGCAACACTGAGGGTTGCGATCCGTTGCCGGTCATGAAAAAAGACAAAAAGGAAAAAAAAAAAAAAAGAAGGGGTTGGTATTTTTGAAAGGTTCTCAAAACCTCATAGTGGCAAGAGTATAGAGAAAACACTACTAGTGGATGGGCTGGAAGGTTAGCTCAGTTGGTTAGAGTATGGTGCTGATAACACCAAGGTCCAGGGTTTGATCCCTGCACTGGCCAGCCACCGAGAAGAAAAGAAAACACTGCTGGTGGAAATGTAAATTCTTGGAGGATGATTTGATAACCTGAAAATGTTTCCACCCTTTGATATAATAATTTTATTTCTAGAAATTTGTCCTAAGGAAATAATAAGTACAGCTAGAGTTATGTATCAGAGTACTTATCACATTATCAATATAAAGCAAAAATCTGGAAATAAAGATATCCAATAGCAAGGGACTGGTTAAACACATTATGATATATCACAATGGAATATTATGTAATATTAAAATAATGGTTTGGTTTTTTTTTTTTTTTTTTTTTTTTTAAGATGACCAGTAAGGGGATCTTAACCCTTGACTTGGTGTGGTCAGCACCACGCTCTCCCAAGTGAGCTAACCGGCCATCCCTATGTAGGGATCCAAACCCGTGGCCTTGGTGTTATCAGCACTGCACTCTCCTGAGTGAGCCACGGGCTGGCCCAAAATAATGGGTTTTTAAAATATATTTAATGTGCCAGCTAGCAAAGTGGCGCAGCAGGAGTGTGCTGGGCCCGTAACCCAGAGGTCGATGGATCGAAACCATCCTCTGCTACAAGCTTTCTGAGCACCCCCCCGCCCCCGCCAGCTTAGAATTCTACTCGAATTTACTTAACCATTCCTAGCAATAATCACTCTCATATGTAATCTCTCACTTAAAATATATTTAATGAATGAGGAAATGTTTACCATGTAAATTTTCTAGCCCTATACTGGTTGCTGTCCAAATATTTCTTATTATTCCATTTTATCTCTATAAACTTTTTTTTTTTCCTTTTTGTCTTTTTTTTTACTGACTGGTAACGGGATCGCAACCCTCAGTGTCGCGCCCGTACCGGGGACTGGCAACGGGATTGCAACCCTCAATGCTGTGCCCGCACCGTGCTCAGCCAGTGAGTGTGAACCGGTCTCCACGTGGGATCCGAACCCTCGGCGGGAGCGCCGCCACACTCCCAAGCGGCACACTCTCCAGTGCGCCACCGGGCCGGCCCCTCTCTATAAACTTTTAGTTGAACCTTCTTTTATTATTCTATCAGGGATTTGGCCCACAGCTTATTCTCATATGACTTGTGAGCTAAGGATGATTTTTACATTTTTAAAGGACCATAGGGCTGGCCGGTTAGCTCAGTTGGTACAGCATGGTATTATAACACCAAGGTCAAGGGTTCAGATCCCCCACGAAAAAAAAAGAGTGAGGACTATAAAAAAGGTGAAGAAGAGTATGCAATAGAGACCATATGGGGTCCACAAAGCCTAAATATTTACTATCTGGCCCTTTGCAGGAAAGTTTTACCCACCCCTGCCCTAGAGATTGCAGCATGTATCCTTGTAACTTAATGTAGTTTAAGTTAGATATTTTTACCACCTCCGGACAATGCAAGAACCTACAACAGTTTTGCTCCGTTTAACTCCCTCCTGCCCTTTGTGCTGTTATTGTCATCATATATTTTACTTTTTACACATATTTTAACTCCCAAAGACCTTATTATAATTACTTTTTTTAAACAGTCAATTTTCATGTATATTTTTCCCACTACCCTTTCTGATACTTTTGATTCTTTCCTGCAGTTCTGTGTTTGTATGCCTCCATGTAAGTTTATCTTCCTTCAACCTAAAGAGCCCTCCTTAGTATTTTGTGTTTGTAGTGCACGTCTTTCAGTAATGAGTCATTTTGGCTTTCTTTTGTTTGAAAATATCTTTCTTTTTCTTCCATTGGGTATAAAATGCTAGGTTTGCGATTATTTTCCTTTTAACACTTTTTTTTTTTTCCTTTTTGTCTTTTTTCGTGTCCGGCAACGGATCGCAACCCTCAGTGTCGCGCCCGTACCAGACCGGGACCGGCCACGGGATCGCAACCCTCGGTGTTGCTCCCACACCTCGCTCAGCCAGTGAGCGGGAACCGGTCTGTGTGGGATCCGAACCCTCGGCGGGAGCGCCACCGCGCTCCCAAGCGGCACACTGTAGCAGTGCGCCACCGGGCCGGCCCTTCCTTTTAACACTTTTAAAGAATCTTTCCATTGCCTTCTGGTTTCCATAGTTTCCACTGAAAAGTCAGCTGTAAGTATTATTGTTTCTTCTTTGAGGATATGTCTTTTTTCTGGCTGCTTTCAAGATTTTCTCTGTCTCTGATTTTCAGCAATTGACTATGATGTTTTTAGCTATAGTTTTCTTTGTACTTGTCCTGCTTGAATCTGGCTGAGCTTCTTGAATCTGTGGGTTGATATTTTTATCAAATTTGGAATATTGTCAGCCATTATTTCCTCTCTCTTTCTCCTCTCTTGGGACTGCAGTTACACATAGGTTAAACCTCTTCACCATGTCCCACATGTCTCATATTCCGTTCTCTTGTTTTACTTTCTTTGTTCTCTCTGTGCTTTAGTTTGGATATTTTCTATTGAAATTTTTCAAGTTCATTAATCCTGTCTTCTGTTAAATCTAGTATTGTACTATTTTAGAACTTCCATTTGATTCTTTTTTATAGACTACAATTCTCTGTCTTTCATTCATTTTGTCCATCTTATCCTTTTATTTCTTTTTTTTTTTTTTATCCTTTTTGTCTTTTTTCGTGACCGGCAACGGATCACAACCCTCAGTGTCGCGCCCGTACCGGACCGGGACCGGCCACGGGATCGCAACCCTCGGTGTTGCTCCCGCCCCTCGCTCAGCCAGTGGGGGGCCGGACTCCATGTGGGAGCGGAACCC